ATGTTTGTTTATTATCGTGGGACATAAAAGCTGTTTAGTGTCAAGTAGCATTACGATGGCGAATTATGTTCTTTGCTAATGATCTGGTGGTTATTGTGAGTGCATTTGTTGGTACGACCTGGCGCCACTGAGTGTACTGTTACGTCGCTTTGATTTTTTTTATGGGCTTCATATTAGTTCGATCACCTCGTTCGGTATGGACCCGGGCGCTTCGCTCGTGTTCACTAATTAATATAAACTGATTGAGTTGTAATTTACAACGCGGCATTGTTGCGATTCAATTAGACGATTAGTTAATACTACTAATTACGATTGTAGCGACTCGCATGACTTAGGTAATATTCGTACGTTTCTTTTAAATCAATTTATTATCAAGCGAAAGTTTGTATCATTATAATTTAGAAGGAATTTGATTACAGCATAGTGTAATGTAATCCCAGAGGTTTTAGGTTATTTTTTGATATTTGTAAAAAAAAATTGTCATTCAATCTTTACGAAACTTTAGAATGACATTTACAATTTGTCATGTTAAAATTACATCATAATTATTGAACTTCAGTGAGATATAGGAATACAAACATACAAAACCTAAAGTAAGGAAAAAAGTAAGGATTTGTAATTACATTTGCCAGAACTTATAAATGATTCTAAAGCAAAATATTATTATGACTCTAGAAAATAAACATAAAATACATTCCTTTGATAGAACAATATCCGGTTCATATTTTATTGCTTACCATAATATTCTTTTTCGTAAATTATACAAAGTTTTCCTTTCTTTGTGTGATGTCTTAATATCGAATGATGTATTCTGAACGGAAGTGTTGCTGCCATAAGTATGATATACTGATACAGTTACAGCGGAGTAGGTAAGGGTAGTAATGGTCTTGTTAATATAACCTATATTAAACTGACAGTTTCGTTTTAAATAACAACTTTTACTTAGCTTTAAAACAGTCTTAAATCTTAATAGTTATGATTCAAATTTTGGTATCGTAGAAATGCGGTCCTTTGTTTAAAATATAAATAGACTTAAAAAATATTGCCAAATATTTTCATCAAATCAAAAAATAAGTACCTCTTCTTGTACAAATATTGAAGTATTATTTCCTTACGTTAACTAAAATTGATTACAATTGCTATAGTTCTAACGGTGAATAATAACATTCACAATGCAAACTAGGCATAAGCTTAGATTCATATTGAATACAGACTGGTTTTAAGACAAGATCTTCCTTAAACTGTTTAGACTACTACCTAGACGTAGTGCTCCCATTTCTGCTATGGGATTTTAAATTCTTGAAACGCTATAAATAAGGTATTAATTCCTTTAATTAGATGTATGTAAGTTAAGATGATATTTTAAAGGAGAAGTTAATCGTGAGCCAGAACGGCCATTGCCTGCAGCTAATCGCTCCTGTAGTCATTCCTTTCTTAGATTCTAACCTTAGAAGCTGTGCTGCCAAAGGCCATGTAAATATCTTACCTTGGTTACTACTCGCGAATAACTTATTCCTTACTATATTTATATTTCATTGTCAGCATATAATTCTTTTGTACCTGTATGTCACTGAACTCTTAGTAAATGGCTGGACCGTTTTAAATGTTTTTTTTTGTATACATTTGGGTAGCACCCCAGATGATTTAGATATATAAATCAGCCCGCCAGTTATTTCAAAAGATAAAGCTTCAACATAGGTAGTATGTATTGTTTTAAAACACTTTATACATTTCTCTCTGAACTTTGATGAACAACAATAACCGGACGGAATCGCGGGCAAAAACTAGTATTACATAAATATGAAACATAAATTGCAGAATGATTAATACAATTGTCCGTAAAGCGGTTAATCTTTTTGTTAGAATTTACCCCTTTTAATTAGTGTTAGAGGAACATTTTAATCTGAGGATTACAAGAAACGAGCAAGGACTTAAACGATTCAGATATAATATTTCTTTAGACTGTAATAAATAAGAAAAGTACAGGTTTCCCGTTCGGACCAACAACAAAAGGGGAAAGCTTCTTAAGGACTTTATCACACTGCTTGCTACAAATGACAAAGCTATAAAATTATTTGCATTAAAATTATTATACACTGTTAAAAATAAAATAATAAAAAGAAAAACTATGTTCTGAAATTAACACATAATAATTTTGTTCTGGTAATTTAATTTGATCATAATAAAAATTCTTTAAATCAAAGTAGTAGAACAAGGTGAAAAATTTCTATTAGTTTTGTTAGCACAATGTAGATTCAAAGAAAAAATAATAAAGTATGTTAGTGTGACATCGCCCTTTTGTGAAATCTGACATCTACGTAAGAAGTAATGTCCTAATTGGGTTGTTTGGGTTAAATCAGGAGTGTCGGAAAATTAATGTACCTTGGGAGATAAATTTGTAATATTTTTCTCTAAAAAAAATTCGATTACACAAAAGTTAAGGGCCAGGTGTTTCAAAGGTTTGAAAAAAACTTATTTAAATGAAATTAATAACAGTTTGAAGTCTCTCTCCATTTTTTTAAAGACAAACATATGTATATATTCTTTTCATTATTTCAATAAAGATTTTAAGAAAGTCTTAATTAATATAAACGCGAACATTTTAATATCAAACACAGGTTAATGTACTGCTGCGTATTAATTATTAATATATCAAATCTGATTTACAAAAGGGGTGGAAAGTAATTATTTTTCATTTTAATTGAGAGCTCTGTAATTTCAAGACTCTTGAGATCATTTCGAAATGTTATACAAAGTTTTATCGTTTATAATGAATTGTAATCGTAGATTAATATATATTATTTGTAATATTGATTTTTATTGGTGTGTTATTTCATACAATTAAATAATTTAAACAGCCTTAAATGTGACACTAGACCCCCACATCCCGAGCCGTCACTGTCAATTGGATGTAGCCTAGAACATATCAATCTAATTTTCCGACCTGTCAAACGTAATTTATTTGATACGATGCACTTTGCACCACAAGTACTTATATTTTTATTTATTGTTATTATTTTAAAGCATGTTTTCTTTAAACTGGTTATAAGATTAGTCAGTGGTCAATTTATTTACTAGACATTGGTTACGGTTTGGGCGTATACTTGGCTTAATGATAAATTATATTCATTCAGTTATTAAACTTCTTTCTTGTTTTCTTACATGTAAATGTATGTCATATACTTAATGTATTAGGATACAAAATTGCATGATTGACATGAAATAAGCATCTCAAAGTCATAACCAAACAGGAATTTTAATTTGAACTTTATAAGATTGCTTCGAAAAATCATTTTACTGTAGATGGCAATCATCTTTCAACTCCGAAGCTTGAATGACATTTCAGATTGACAAATGAATGCCAGACATTTCAACAGACTATTTGTTTTTTCGTGTATGGGAATAGTAAAAACTTGTTTTTGTGTTGGTTATTGTACATGTGTATTATGTATATATATTAAATGTAAGTTAATGCAGTTACGTTAATAATAAGTATTGAATAGAAGGGAAAATAAACGCTAAATTGCACTTATTTAGTGGGTCGCGGCGATCAATCATGGCGGCTAAGTCATCAGCCAGTTCAAATGTCAAACGAAGCTAGGGTGGCGATAAAAAAGAAAACTGAGTTGCCATTATTAAAAAAGTGACTGTGACTTTATTTCCATTGTCAATTGCCAATTCAGGATTATTAACTGACTTGCATTATTTTTTGTGTTCTAATATTGATAGATTAGTTTTTTGAGTACGTTCCTTTTGAATTTATTACGTGTATGCTCTGATATCTGCGTTTGAGTGCCGTCGATTATAATACCGATGAGAAAAGTAACAGCCAACGGAATAACACAAAACGATAGTCATCGGTGCCGTACACGCGAACTGAAGTGTATTGCTTGAAATTAAATTATTTACCGGTACAGATATATTTATACTTTTTTTGTGACGTTGCAACATTTAAATTTAGGACGTCTTCTTATTTTTTTTTTGTTATTCTTATTGCTTACGTTGTAAATATTAACTGAATACTAATTATATTAAATACAATTAATTTTAATTTAAAAATTAATATAATTCTTGTAATTAACATATGTGAACGTTTAACAGATACAAAATAAATGGTCTTATGTATGATATATATTACAAATTAAGTTTATGGAATTGAAATCAATTTAACTAAATTGACTTCCTCTAATTTTACGATTTCGTTTGCGTGATCTCGTCCGGTAATAACCTTATAATTCGTCCACTGGGATAGGGCAGTACAATACCGTAATGACTCAATATTAATCGGTCAATTGGTTAATATACTTTTGTTGCCCTTTTATTACAAATCATACAAAAAATTAATGAATTTAAATTATTACCATCGATGCGATTTTTTATTATTACGTTATTTGTTATTATGACATCATACTTTTATACACAATTCGATGTATAATGACATAACTCCTGAATATTAATAAACCGTTAGAAAATTGTTTAAGAGACATAATTTAAAATAGTTTTTGGGGATGGATATGAGATTAAAATAATTAATTATTATATTAAATATAGAATAATTCAGTTGATCAAGCGCAGTTTGTAGCCGCGAATGCAAACACGAGGAGATCGCGTGCGAGCGCACAATATTAACGGAGTCAAGCTCCACGCTACCCCATATTTTAACAACTGTCCTAATACATCTTTCAATGTTGTTTTTAACTGTTTTTGCCACATTATTGTTTGTACTTTTTCAATGTTTACTTTTAATTTTTGTGTTACGGTTATCTCTTTTTTTTTATCTGTTACTTTTCATTGGGTTCGTTGATCATTCTAGATATAATATTTCATCTCAGCAACACATACGAATAGCAGCTGTTAAGTGATTTGATATCTGTGATTTTTGTATAATAAAATGCATGTAAATTTATCTGTGTTTATTGAAACGTTAAAGTACCAAAGACAAAGTTTGATTGCAGTTTATAATATTCAACGAATTGGATGGATTTTTTTCTTCATTTCAGGTGCCTGTCAATGAAAGCGCCAGACAGGTATGTCGCTAAGTCACTCGCGCGTTCGATTTCGTTCGGCCAGATTCGGTGTCGTTCGGAAACGTTCGGGCGGGCTCGGCCATAGACCGGTCGCCAAAGGGTTAGCTTGGAAGACCACACGATGAAACTACACACCCGCATCGCAGGACATTTAAGCACAGTATTATTTTACCATCAAAATTGCTTATCAGTGTGTGTGTAATTTTTTAAATGTTTTATTTTTGTTTATTCTTTGCCGATTCCATCCTTAGTTAAGGTCTCTACCCATTTCATCTGTCATAGATTTGAATATAATACACAAATTATTTATTTTTTTAATTGCTTGATTGGCCATTTTCTCTGTGTAAGATCGATTGCACATGTCTCGGTGGTGTGTTTTATTTTACTGTTTTAATGTAACTGAACAGTTGTGGGTGATTGCTAGTTGTCGATGTTTTGCTTCCAGGTTACACCCTTTCTATTTAAATTTGATATTTGATTCCTAAATAAATCACAGATAAATTTACAACTTTTTATACGTAGTACTTATAGTTATGTGTATAATTAAATGCATTGTTTTTATTTTTTTATTTTTTAAGCATGACCGTGTGACGTTTGTTTATAAAAAATCCCTTATCGTTGTAGGTAAGTAATGTAAAGAACGACAAATGTTAGATACATTAAAATGAAAAAAATTAAGTATAGGATTTGTGAATGTACGCATGAGCAGTAACAAGAGTCCAAATTGATCCGTGACAAATTCGTGATGATCATCATCAAATCGTAAAGGATTTAACGCCTCTGTTGGCACGCTTCTTTTGTTGGTAACATAAAGCCGGCCATTAACATGTTTGATAAAACGTTGGCCGCACAAAAAGATACCGGGCAGCTACCGTAGACTCCCCACTGAGAGACCTCATTGAGACCGGTGCCATGCTGTGGTACTTATAAAGAACACAAACACGTATATCATTCACTACCGCGTTTTGGCAGTCTATATACTAGCATAGCGTCGTTGAATCCCATACGTGTCTTAGTTTGCATTTCTGAGTGTATTGTGAGAAAATCTGACGCATCTGCTATATTATTACCTGATATTGATAGATCGATTCCTTTTAAAATTGTAGCTATGTTAAAATAAATAAAGCTGACTGTTTGATTTAAAGAATGAAGTATCGAATAAAATATGTAATAAAAATCGATGTGTTACATTCGAATGGATTTATACATATTTATCTTCAACGAATACTTTAAGGATTTTGGCGTTGGTATAATCCTTTCTCTAGCCGCCGACACAAAGATATAGATAATATTTATGATATTAAGAATTCGATTTGACTAATGGATCTCAAATTATAATAGATACGTGTCATTCAAATGAGCTTCCCATTTATAATCTTAATTCAATAAAACTTATTTTAATAGTTCGTGACTATGAATTCTCGATTTATTTATCACGTTTTACTATAAATTACTTTTAAATAATTCGTATAAAAGTAATAATATAATAGATTTAATTAAATATCACGAACTTCTTTGAAGAACGGGTTAAAATTTACGTAGCTTTATACGGCGAGAAATGTTTAAAGCAAAACAAACAGTAATCACAACAAAGGATCCGCTTACATTCTAACGCCTTTTATACTAACAAAGGACGAATTCGAATAAACACTAAATCGTTAACCCTTTGACCGTAGGGTAATTTTCACTTTGGAAAACGGAATGGAAATGATTTTCTAGAGGGTCCCAACTGTCGACGCCACAAGGTGTTTATGTATTGATTTTAAGGAATGACACTTACAACATGGTGATTTTTATAAAGATTATTTTAATTATAAATTAAATTACTCAAATTTAATCACCGTTCAAATTATCCACAGATGAAAAACATAAATTAAACAAATTAATTAAATGTAATTTAATTTTAAATCGTCTATATTTATTATATAATTAAGATATAAATCATAAACGCAATTTATAGTATTGCCGTCTAAGGAAATCCACTTAAAACAAATGGAGAATAATGTAATCAATCATAATAATAATTTAAACGTACTGTACGTATATAATGAGGTCTCTGGCGAATTATGTCATGTATGGCCGGTGCATCGGTGGTCGGTAACCGCACTCACCTAGTTGCGCGGCAAGGCGTGAGAAACAGAAACTTTCCCTCTCATCATACCCCAACCGAGTTATGAAACCATCCCTGACCCAAGTTCCCAAGTCACTGAGGGTGCAGGTCACCCGAGCAGTAATACATGTAAAACGTATGCTTGAGAGGACGGGCAGGAAGTTTCGAGTATGTCCACGCTTAAGTGATAAAAAAGGTAAACAAATATTTTCTCGAATAGGATAAATTTATAAATAAATAGCTACCAAACAATCGCTTTGTCTATATAAAAATATAAGTCAATATCATGATATGTCAGTGTCGTTTTATATTCAAAATCTCGATTTTATTCTGTGTGAAGTCTTCTCTCTACTAAATGCGGATCTGTAACAAATAAATAATCTGTATTCGGAACGTATTTCTATCAAACGGCATATTGTATCTATCATCCAGCATAAATTCGATTTGTTACTTAATGTTCGGAAACTGCATATTTCAAAACATCTGAGACAAATGAATCTATAAAATTAATTGGACAAGTAATCGAAAACTCGGAAAGAATTTCTTTATCTCTTGCTTTAGGGGAGAGAAAACAAATGAGGGGCGGACGTTGAATAATTCGATTTCCTTATTTGCAGCAATCAATATGTTATAAGAGAATTTGATATCATGAACCAATTTATTGACTCCTAAAGCACTTATAGCGGATTAGTTTGTTAATTTGACATTTAATGGTGGTAGCAAGAGCGAAGGAAGCTTTCTGATGAGTACAAGTCAAATTATTTAAACTTTATTTCAAATAGTTTTGTCTGAGTTTCGAATTTGAGTAAACTTTCTTCAGATATAAACTGTGGTGAACGCTTAAATTGATTCCCAAACAGGTGGAACGTCATAATAACTAACTTCAAAATTAACCCTGCAAACAGTGTAAGGGTGGCATCGTTTGAAGCAGGGCGGTGGTGGGCGTCGGTCGCAGAAGGCATATCAGTAGGATATAATTGCATTTACTACCAACCTCGCTGACGTTTCCTGCAGAGTGTCTACGGCTCGATCTTATAGACAATTGAGTTACACAAACCACCCTCGGAATAAGATGTCTCTGATGAGAAAATTTCTTGATTGACATCTGCAATAACTTCAGAAGTAATGAACACTGTTGCACGATATGAATATTTGAATCTCGAGAAAAGCTTGATTAGCTTCTATGAATGTAATAAGCAGTTCGCAGTATCTTCTTAATTAAGTAAGATACTTTGCTTTAATAAGCTCATATTAAATTTTGTTCGTAATTCGCTCGGATACTTATTTAATTCCGGATATAAAATTTCTGTGATTGAGCCCCAGCGGGTGGAGTTAAGGGGCGTGAATTCCAACAAAATTAGCACCAGGGGTCGAAATAAAAAAGCGAAGGAAAAATTTAATGAACAGGAAAATGCTCCTTTTGCAGCTATTCCATCTATTTATCTACATCGGGATGCCCATTACCTTGCTAAGAGAAAAGTTTACATTTTTAATTTAATGATTCCACTTTGTGGAAGTTGGGCGGGTTTCAGCGAAATCTTAATTTGGGGATTTCTGAGGCGTCTCGTTTTGTAAATATTATTCCTTTAATAAGACCTCACGTCGAGGGGTGCTGCTGAAGTCCGTGATTACGACTTCCTTTTGCGAGCTTCATTTTAGACCTCGTCATTTTGATTGGCGCTAATGAAATTTTTCTTACTCTATGCTGTTTTCTTGTTCTTGACAGTATAATTTCCAGAAGGGTCTACTGTCTAAAACGTTAGGATATGTCATCAGCACACCCTCTAAACATTTATTGGAGGTAATTTTACTTTAGCATGTCAATGTTTCCGCCATCATTATTTAAAATTTCACTTTTGCTAATGCAATTTCTTATTTATCTTTAGTGAAGTGCGCGTCCCATCTGTAGCAAAATTTCTAAATCGTCGAGTCCCAGCTGTTTCTGTATAGGCGATGACGTTTCGCTTTTAGCGGCTGTTTTAAAATTGAATATTTGATGGCGCATTCCCTTATGACGAATCCGCGGTGAGTGCTAAAGGCCAATTCCGTGGGAGATTATTTTTTTGAGAGGATCTTTTATAGCCTTGGCGATCACCTCATAATCTAGTGTGTTGTTGCTTATCATAAATTCAGCGTTTTTACGACATTGGAATATTAAAATAGAAGAGTGGGAAAAGTTTTGACAATTGCAATAGGAACGAAAAATTTATGTCAAACAGAACTATTTCATTCAATGTTTAATCAATACAATAAATAATTTTATCTGTTATCATACAACTGTATTGCACTCAAAAAATCCCATTATAAACATAAATGGTTACAGCTTAGTTCATTTCTAATTACACAGATAAGCAACTTCAATAACGGTTCTTTTATCACGTTCATACGTTTGGAATCTAATTGGAATTTTGCATGTTGATATGTAGACTCTTTATTGGTCGATATTATGTTTGCTTTTTGATATTGATGTTTATAATTCAAATGGAGGTATCCAGCAACATAACAAATACTGATAAATTGAACCGTCATCGTCAGAGTTTAATATAACATTTTGATTACTTTGTTCGGAATACATTGTTATGATTGACTATAAATTAGGTTATTTATGACCAGCTGCTAAAAGAACAACATCATATATCGAAATTGAAAACATTAATTCAGAATTAATTGCTTTAGCCCAAAGGTCTTCTTCAATTTGTCAAAATTATAACCTTATTAATGCATTTCACAAAATTTGCATTTAAACGTCTATGTTATTACTAATAGAAAATTACTGATATTGTGGGGGAAATTATATTTGTAACTTTTTTTATTGTATTATTTTTTAAGCGAGGGTCGATAGGGTCGCTTTTTTAAGAAGACATCTGTTGTGAACATCATATGAGTTTTT